AAATAACTAATAACTGCACCTTTTGTAGGGATATATATATAGTTGAAGGAGGTTAAGAAGTAAGGTGATGAAAGAGGGATTCGGAGAAAGAGAAGTAGTGGTGGTAACTGGGGATGTTGGTGGGGCAGATGAGGTGATTGAGAACGGAACGGGGTTGGTTTGGTGACCCTGGAATTTGACAGAAATGGGAGACGGTTTTATAAAGGGTTTGCAATAAAGGAATTTGAATCCTGGAGAGTCAATTACCATGTTAGGATTATGACATGTGGAAAAATAAAAATTCAACGGTTCTAATTTTAACTTATTTTTAATAAAATAAATTGTAAGTATGAATTTCACTTTATAAGCTAATACTGAACTATTTAGTACTAAAGAGAAGTTGGGTTCTCAATAAAGTAATATTAGAAATTAGTAATAGACATCTCATCAGTAGAAACCATGGGTATATTTATTCTATCATTTACCTTTCTTATCTAATGATTTTTAATTCTTCAGAAAAAGAAAGTTAATACAAATGAACGGTGAATAATATATTAATTGTGTATAAATTTTCATAACAACAGTATATAAATATTATACTCAAATATTAATTATACAGATAAATTCTCTTGGTTTTCTCAAAATTAAAATAACTTAATTTTTATAAAAAATGTAAATGTGGATGATCATATAAAGATTACTCATATGTTTGGTAGATGAGAGTTAGGAAAGAGAGAAATGGGAAGAAAGAAGTTGGAGAAATAAAAATAGAAAAAATAGAGTTTCTTCCCTTTGGTTGAGAGGGAGAAAGTAAAAAAGTGTGAGTCCCATAAATTTATCTCTCTTCACTTGTGAGAAAAAAATGAGACGAGAAAAAAAGTAACATAATAAAACACACATTTCTCTTATTTATCTTCTTACTTTATCTTATATCAAACATTACAAAAATCATCTTTATTTTTCACCTCTTTCTTTATTCACACAATCTTTCTCACATTTTTCTCTCAGCCCATTACTCATTTTCTTCAGTTAAACCAAAGAAGTCAACAACCTTAATTTGTAGCTATAAAGTACTCTATCATCAGGGCATAAAATTTGGAGACTCCTATCGTCTAAGGATGATAAAACAAAACCATATTTGTACCCAAAAAAACAAAAGCGTACAGCTAATAAAATTGCCAAAGCTAAGTGAATGGTTAAAACCAAAAGCTGAAAAGATAAAACAAGACCCAGGTGCCATTGTCATCATGGGTGATTTAACTTATGCCTAATAGTGACGATCATAACCATACTTTCCATTCCCATTAAAATCATGGTACCAAGTTTTTGGCAATGGCCAATAAAAATCAGATAAACAATGTATTTTGAAAAGGTAAATAACTAGGCATCATGATATGCAGCATGGTTGCCTCCCTTGTGTGACACACAATAAGATGAAAGAGAAGGGAGGAACGCTAAAAATAACAAGTACTAATTGGTTACTGCACGCCAGAAATGCAGGACTACAGGGTAATCCAACATCAGAAATAATAACTATGTCCAATAAAAGTGTCACGTAAATCTTACAAATCACAGTAGATGCACTCATCCAATTAAATAGATCACAGAATGTGTCATAGGAATTGCAATGCACATAGGAAAATTGTAAAGATTTAGGCACAAAGTTGAATGAGTCCAAATTGAAAACAATGTAAAAAATTCACCCAATAACTAATTGGGCAAAACCAAACTTGGGAACATTGTTCCATAGGTAAGGTAGTATAAGCACTATTTGGAATTTGGATTCCAAATGCACAGACCATGCTTATAGAGGACTGCCATTTTCACTCTTTCCAGCTTAGGCATGTATGCTTGTAAACATAGTGCAAGTGAATCATTTTTTCTGTTTAAACGTGAATAACTATGTTTCTTGCCCCCATACTTCACAGCAAATCCAGCCAAAAAATGAGCATTGCTGATGTGAATTGTTAGTTTCTACACATCCATGCGATGCAATGCATACAACTTAAGTGATTTCTTGTTATTTACCTTTGCTTTGTTATTTTCATGAAAGTCTTTAATACAAATGAGCATATTGTCTTTTGTGATACGAGTATTTCCTAACAAGTTTCTTAAAATGAATGCAAGTGGAACACATATATGCTAAATTAACAATCAAAAACCTTTATATTTACGCAACATTTGATGGTGTCTGCATTTGCAGCCACCAGAATCCATGACATTTGGTTGTCAAGTTGCACACATGCTGAGTGATGGCAATAGGCAGTGTAGTGAAGGCAACTAAGTAATTGAAGGGGTCAATCTGCCACTAAACTAACTATAGTAACTAAACACATACATGCACATTTAAGACTACAATGTTGGGATCACATGACATAAGGAACCAGATACACATTATATTGAGAAGTAAGTTTCACATTGCCTACCTCATTGTCTCGGGAATGGTTTAAATACTTGTTGGACTACTCCTCTTATTGCCAATTGGTTTTGAGATAGAACCTTAACATGGTATCAGAGCCAGAGTCAAACTTCTTTCCGGTTGTCATGAGCCAAAAGATGCCCTTTAGTTATGGGTCAAAGGTAAACTTTCGCTTGGTCTGACAGACTTATGTGGAGATGGCATATTAGGAAGCAAGTCCCACATCGCCTACCTCATTGTTTTGGGAGTATTTAATAAGTACAACATCTCAATTTTTTTACATCTATAACAACTTCAATGAAGCTATACAAGTTCATGGTCGTTCAACGTTAGCTAAAGTATAAGAAGCATACTATACTGTCCGTGAACAACAGTTTAGAGATATATTCACAAATCCGTATAAGGTATGATCTAACCTCTTTTTCCACAGTCTAGATGCATATCAACCTTGGTGAATGGTTCAAGTTGGAAATTGTCCACTGGGAGGGCAATACATGTCTGAAGTGAAGAAAAACAATGCTAACACCACAATAATCCAAATGCACAGACATGGAAACAACATTCGATTCTTTGCACGAAGCACGTCATCAACGCATTTTGATTCCTCTTGCTGAATACTCCCACAGAGCTCTTCCATGACATGCTTAGTTATTTCATTTATAAGCTTCCTATATTGAGGATCAGCAATGATCGAATCATGGACCTTTGTTTGAACTTTTGTAAGAGAATTTTCAGCAATGAACGAATCCACATAAGTGAACATAGCACTATCCAACTCAAAGGCACCAAAACAATCAGTGACAGCAGAGCTAATTCCTGATTCATGTGTGGAAGCTTCTTCAAATGACAAAGTCTGAAAGAGATAAATCATTTGAACTAATTTAGTCCTTCACTGCATTAGTTGTTCCTAATATATTCTTTCGGAATCTAGACAGTACATTTTACTATAGACTATAGTGTTCAATTCGGTTAATAATTTGCATCAGAATTGCATCATCAGAAGCATATTAACTATTAATTCAGCAAAAAATAATAATCTGAGCTCTGCTATCATTCAGATCTAACTCATCTAACGATTTTGTGGTGAAAATAGTGTAAGATAATCATTAAGTTGAAAATTAATGTAGCTTCAATTACATAAACATCGACGTGATTCACAAAACTACAACGAATTTTCTATACTTATACCTCTAAGGAATTGAGTTGAGATGAACCGAATAAAACAAAGAAACACAAGTAAGCAAATGCAACATGACAAAATTGAGTTGAAATCGGAATAAGCGATGAAATTCAAGCTTACTTTAACGTCTTCATTGTGATTAGCGTATGAAATCTTAGAGTTCGGAGAGAAATTGGAGGAATCTTCAGAAACGGATGAAAATGTACTCAAGCGCTTCTTTGTGATCTGGCGAAAGATGAGTTTAAGAAATTAAATACGAAGAGAAGAAAATACATAATGTAAAAAGGGATAAGGAATTGTGCTGTGCCAAATTAGAGTTCGGGAAGTTCTTCAATCTGCGATTGCTCTGCTTCTCTGCTGAGCTACCAATAGCATTCATCTTCTGTGGCGTTTGAATTATTTTAATTCACTTTGGCGGGAATTATATACTATTTTTGCAGATTCAATTTAAAATGCGCCAATGGGTTATAAACTTTGACTTTTCCGAGTAAGGATCAGTACCATAAATTCTGGCCTCAAGCCAATTTGTTACATTAAATAACATAATTTTATTTTCTATTTTTTAATTTTCATATTAATTATATGATATTTTTTTAGTAGATCGTGATATATTGAGAGACCATTTTTGGGATCTCCATTCACATTCCCCATATGCTAGTCAATATATTAATCATTTACATTCAATTATTATTATGTGCTAATGGCTTTAACTTATCAATTATTATAAACATTTACACTAATAATGTATAGATATTACCTTCAAACTCATTGGTATGTTTGTTTTGGTACAGGTATTCTTCAGTGATGTATGAAGGATGAGATCACTTGTCTAAAAATGGTGTCCTTAATCCTGTCCTAACCAATGACATTGTGCCACGTCATTTAAAAAGTACACATCACTCTTCCACTAAAAATATATATATATATATTTATTATTGGACTTTTTAAATAACGTTACACAATGTCATTGACAGAGTGAAAATTTGGGATATGTGTATGAATAGTGAATTAATATATTTCATAATACATTATTATTCTTTAATAATTATATTCCTAGGAAAGGAATGGAACATTTGAACCCTTAATGAATGTGGTGGTATATTGGGATGTTTAGGAAATGAGAAAAAATAAATAATTTCAAGATGTTATGGGCTCAAACCCAATGGGCCGCATAGGAAATTTATTGGACTAAGAGGGCAAAGTCGTTAATAAAAGAACAGTATTTTCAGTACGAGTAAAACCCTAATTCATATAATTGCATTATATAAACCAGAAATAGGGTTCTTCTTTCACAAAGGCGAGTTAAGATTTGAACTTTCTCTATTCGGCAGTCTCTTTTCCACTTCGTTTTCAATTTTCTTTTTCAACATTTTGATTTGCCTCTTGTGATGCCTTTGATTCACAGGCCATGGATTATGGGTTATCTCTTTATCAGTAATGATAAAAAAAGAGGCACAGATTTTTGCAAGAACGTTGAGTCGCTTCGCCTTCGTGTTTTCCACTGGCGCAGTGAATTTTGTTCTGCTAAATCATCTATTTTATCTTTTTAATTTTGTTTCGAGTTTTAAATTATAAATTTTTATTACTGTGGGATCCTATGATGGCATGAAATCTTTGAGACCTGATTGTCATATTTGATGACAACTATAAGCATATTCGCTGAGGATCCACCATAATTTTTATTACTTGTTTTTTAATTAGCGTTTGTGATAGAAATTTTAAAAAATAGAAAGTGCATTAGAATGATGAAATAAGCACTGGGCTCTGAGCAGTTTTATTAATTAACTGTTTTTTGATGCACATTGCTAGCCTAGAAAGCTATTTCTGACTAATTTACTATTAAGTTCGTTTAGATATAAATCTGTCTAGTAATGTTAAATTTTGTTTTGAAAAAATATAATTTGAAGTGTTAATCTTATTGGAAGGATTTTTGTTAAACATAATCTGTAAATTATATGGTGTTTTAATGTAAGGTCTACACAAGATTAGTGTTTTAGGACGATGAGGGATGTTTCAACTAATCACTAGCAGTAGAATAAAAAATGGTTAAGCAATTTACATTGAAATCACTGAGTTGGTGAAACTCATTAAATCTAACAAAAATTCTGAGTACATAACCTTGTTATCTTCTATGTAGAACTAGTATATTACTTGAGCATTCGGGTAGTAATGCATTAAAGAATAAGAATATTAAAAATTATTTTTTGAAAGTATTAACACATAATTAAAGGCACAGTAACAAATAGTTTGTACCTTACGATTTAACTTCATTAAAGAAAGTAACAAACATTATATAGTATTTGGTGAAGTAAACATTTATTGATACTAACTATGTTTCTAATGTTTAAATATGGGAAACACTCTAGTAATATGAACAACGAATTATGTCCATAATCATAATATCAATTCAGGAGAAGAAAATATAAAAATAAAATTCATTCACTTATAAGTTAGTTATTTTAATTAAGTCTTGTTAAATTTAATCTGTCCATTAAAAAATTGCATGAATTTAATTAAATAATAATATGATAATTTATGAATATTAAAAATTACTTTCAAGATTGTTAATACAAAATTAAATGGACCGTAAATAATAGTTTATACCTTATGATTTTAACTTTGAAAGTAATAATGATTAGAAATAGAATTTTAATAACATAATTAAAGATAAGTTGATTAATACATGTTAAACATTTTGAAAAATTTCTTTATAAACCATATTTGTTGACTTTAGTAAGTTATCATCCTTATTATGAATCAAAATCTTCGATCATTTCTTGCTTAACTCTTGAAATAACTATGTACAATTGATCGTGACTGAATATTTGTCTAGGTAAATATAACTTCAAACTTTCTACTGATTGACCTTGAGATTTATTGATTGTCATAACATAAATATAAATGCACGAAATTGTCTTTCGATAAGTTTGAAAGACGGTAGAGATTGAGATGAAGACTTGACATCAAGGGACTATATATGATCATTACTTCAAGTACATGATTTGCAATTTTAGTTACAATCAATATTGTATTATTACATAATTCTTTGTATTGGTCTGAATTTCTTAATTGGATTATTGGAGTTAAAACTTTCAACTTGATCTTATGCATAAGATAAGACATAGCCTTTGTCATATGTAATAATGATTTTGGTTTAACCTAGAATTAATATTAAATTAAATATTAACATGTGAAGATGAAATCGTGACATTAACAGTATTAATATATAAAAATATATTAAAATGTGAAGATGAAATCGTGAATTAATATTGTATTATTACAATATTAACAGTTTTGATGTACTATATATAAAGCTGTTAGGGCATACATTTTCTTCTTAAAATCTTAATACCCCTTATATATGTAGATAGATATACATACTCACATGTGTACAACAAAGATATCATTCTATGAAAAAGAACAATATAAAATTTGAGTTCATTAATTCACTTTTAAATTTGTAAACTTTAATTAAAAGTGTAATATCTATTAGTATAATATTTATAGATCAACAATGCAAAGATTGAAAAATGAATAATACATTGACAACATTATAAAAAAAAACTGGTCCCAATATTTTTATAAGTTAATAGAATTAAAAAAAATGCAAATTCACAAATATTGCATTGCCAGACAAAACACTAATAATAAAAAGCCAGCACATGGAAATTGGAATACGACTAAGGTTAGTGTTTTAGAGAAGGGAGTCCCCATAATCAATAGTTATTTTCTGAAATTTTGTTTTTCCATTTCATACAAAATTTCTAATAACATGTTATAACTTAAGAAAATCTCGAGCCTCAACAATGATCTCAATAACCATAAACCAAACCGTGGCATACCACTATCAACTTCGCAGGTTTAACCAATGTCAAATCTTAGGTGCCAAAAAACGTGTACAAGAAAGCATTGTTTACAATACAAGTCAGTGATTGAGAGCACTTCGAATTGAGAGTGGTGGGTCTACCACTGTGCCTCTGGATATAAGGTTGTGGTTTAAGAATAAAACAATAACAGATATATCATCATGAAAATGGCGCCGAACCTTCTTGTCAATCTTATGAAGGTCAGAATATCGCATTTCTCGTTTTCTTGCTGCTTCATGAAGGGCAGCCTTCACGAGTTTCTTCGCACTACCCTGCAAAAGCAGAATTTTAGTTCTTCAGCACGACAATAGTGAAACCAATACACACACATCTAATGATAGCAAGTATATGGTGTGCCTAAAACACAAGAAGCGCACACTAGATTCGGAAGAAATTGGAGACAACGATTAATGAATGTAGGAAACAAACTCGACATAGAAGGCCACTAGTGACCAAAGAAAAAATTGAGTATCATAAAAAGGGTGGTCCAGTAAAGGATAAGCCAAACCTTTGAGACATAATTTCCATGAAACTACAGACATTATTCTATTCGTTAGTTATATTTATACCCTATAGAATCAACCAAGAGCAATCTTCTTTAATCTCGACGTGTCAAGACAGAGTGCATGGTTGTAACAAAATAAACAACGTAATAAATATTTGGGTCCTCAACCATACTAACACATACAAAATAGGATTCATCCTTATAACCCATTATTGATGCAATCAAAAGGCTTAATAAAGTTCAATAACAAAAATAAAAAACAAAGTACTTTATGTCAATCTAAAATACATGAGGTAAAAGTAAGCCACACAACATTCAATACACAAATAAGAACTACAAATAAGAACTACAAGAAAATCCAACCCAAGGAGAAAATAATCTTACCGCGTGTGGATTGCTGTTGACAATATCCACTGCCTTTTCATTACTCAGGTGCTCCCATAAACCATCGGATGCAAATATAAGGAAAGAATCATTTCGTTGGAGAGGATGAGAAAAAATAGTCGGATTAGCAGTCATGTAAGGCATGTTCATTGGTTCAGGAAGCCTGAATTTGGCATTAAGAGGTTCACGATTAAACTGTGCTTTTTTCATATATACGTCACCTATAGATCTAGAAACCTGCAGCAAATACAATCAAGGAAGTGGTCATACAATAATCTCATTAATTTCGAGTTGGAAGTAAAACTGACAAATATGACAAGGATTGCAGAAGCACCATTAAGTTATATTTGACTTAATAAATACAATAAAATGTGTGGAGAATTAGACTGGAAATCATATTGACCGACTTCTATATGATCATTTTATTCATTTTTAACACACAAATGTGTTGCAAAACAATTTATACGACAACCAAGCCTTTAATAATGTATACATTTGTTTCCAATTTTATGGTTAGGTTATAGTCTCACAAACTAGAGATCGGAGCACACAATGTTGTTTTTTGTAAAACAGACTAAACCATAAAATAAACAAACCAAACAAAACTGGATTTTGATTCAGTTTTTTTAAGATCTTTGAACACCCTTACATATGGGAAATGATACTCAGGAAGATTAATAGTAATGACGTGCTACAAATTCAAATCTGCTTAATATGAAGTGTGACTCTAGTTCTAGATATGGTTTTGCACTGCACTCCATCCACTTTCATCTGAAGTAGGTTATTTAAAGCCTTTTTCGGTGAATCCTGGTTTTGAGTTCTCAACATGGATCAATCTAGCTTGAGGTTTTTTGTGTAACTAAAGAGTAAATGCTTTATGGTATTCTGCTACCTATGCTGCTCTTTGCTGTATTTGGCTTAAGTTAAATGCTTGTTTTTACAACAAATCTTCTCAGCCCTTGCATCTGATATGGGACAAGATCACTTTTTAGGCGTGATCACTTTTTAGTGCATTGATTTCCTTGTGTCTTTTCTATGATTCATTCTCGAGCTTGGATTACCTTTATCTGTAATCTTTCTTTTTCCTCGCTAATAATCTTCAACTGGGTGGAAAAAATTCGTTGATTAAATGAAGAAAAAAACATATTTATTAAAAGTAACGGCTCTTACTGTACTACCCAAGTCAGCCCTTGCATCTATCTTATGAACTACCCAAAAGAGGCTGTGCACCACAGTACCATTGCAAATAAAGGCAATTAGATCTCAAGTAAGTCTGTGATTGATACACACAACGGAAACATGACTCTTTAAAGCACCAATAACTTCACAAGGGAACAGGAGATAGTTACAGTCTCCTTAATGGAAATTAGTCTTATTATCTGCATCTTAAAGGAATTCTGGCAAAAGTATTATAGAAGAAGATAGTATGATATTGAGAAATAAGAAGCTTCTTAGTAAACCTGAACGGGTCCATAATTCATCAATAAATGCACGGTAAGAAAACAACTAAAATTCTGTGTTTGAGGTATATGGATTCAGAAACCATAGATCAATGTGCAGCATTCAATTTCAACAAACAGAACAATGGCATTTAAGGACAAAGGTTAAGTTGCTTCCAACACTATTGACCTACCAAAATTCAATATCAAAATTTAGCACTTGAAGAAGTACAAACAATAAATAAACAGTACAATGAATTGATAAAATGTTTGACCACCTTCACTTCATGTAAGCACCAGTTATTTGTAAGAGAAAGGTTTTAAGGCAACACAATTATAAAAAATACCTGAATAATGCCCTTTACCCTCCACACTCCATGCTTGAGGACAACGACTTGGGGATCATTAGGGTGTAATCCTTTAAGTTCATTTCTAATATCCTCGAGATTTGCATTGTGTTCGGTAGACAGCTGAATTGCAGCCATACCTCCAGTGTTGCCAACTTTTTTACCCAACACAACACGAGAATCTCCAAGGTTTGCCACGAAGAGTGTTTGCTGAAATATCACTCCAACTAGACAACAGGACCCAGCATTTGCAATCTGAGGCCGAGTACTCCATAAATCTGATACGAGAG